TCAGTGTGTATCTAGTCAAAAGTTGAAAAATCATATTGTTTCTCGCCACATCCTTTCCGAGAAACAAGGGGACTATCTGTATACGGTCAAAGCTGAGTTTGCCTTTCGTATAATTAGTCAAATTAGAAACATAATGGACCGAGGGTCGTCATTATAATATCGAGATATGATGTGTAGCCGAGTTATCGAGATCCAGACCGATCAATACCGAGCTAGAAGCAATATCGAGCTCGAGTCAAATATCGAGCCATGATGTGAAGTGGTATTTTCTAGCCCAACAGTCAGAGACCGATCAATACCGAGCTCGAGTCGATATCGAGTTCGAGTCAATATCGAGCTCGTGTCAATATCGAGCTAGAGATCTAGAGATCTACCAATACCAAGACCGACCAAGATCGAGCCAAGAGACAAAAAACTATTGTAGCCGCACTAAGGCAGAGAATATCGACAGGAATTAAGGAAAAACTATTTAACTAATTTATCATGGGATTCCCACTGTGTATTTGTTAATATCCAAAGTAGGATTCCTCCACTATATTAAGAGTGGCTATCATTTCTGTAAAGTGAAATCACACATTGAACATTCAGATATCAATACACTCTCACATTTCAGAGATTATTGAGATTTACACACATATAGTAAACATTATCCTTCTTTGGGCCTTTTTACATTGGTTCATCTTGTTCATTTATAGACCATTCTCTACTCAATTTGGGTTTGTATTTCATTCCTTTTTACAATCAATATTCGATATATTTCTACTTATTTTTTCAATTTGTGCCAAGTTATACCACCTTTCCTTAGAACTACGTATAAATTCAACTCAATCCGTTTTTCGGGTAAACAAGAATTTTTGAAGTTTTATTGAAAAATAATTTTTAGATGTTGAAGTTGTGTTTGGACATGCATTTTATTTGAAAAAACTCGAAGTTTTGTGAGTACAAGAAAAAATTTCACCCAAAAACTAATCTAAATCAGTTTTTGGGAACTTATCATTTTTTTTTTCAAAAACTGATCATATCAATATTTTTTTCTTGAAAAAAAAAAGTCAAAATCTATGGACAAACGAGGGCTAAATTCATTTGTACTGATAATTATATGTATTCATAAAGCATGCTGAGAAGAATTAAATGGACAATCATAATTAGCGAGGATAGAAATTGGCTCCATAATTAAAACCCGAGTCACTTTACGAGGAGATTCATTATCAATTGCCTCCATAACTATTTTGGGGTTGGGATGGATTTATATTTCCCGAAAAGTACTTTAGCATCCGGCTGTCAATAAGGAGAAATGAAAGTAAAATTCAAACCAACTTTGGGATTTTAATTTGATTCGCCTTAATTATTACTACTACTACTACTATTATGAGTAGTTAGTTGAGCTTCCTTTTTCCCATAAAAATTCTTTAGCCTCCATAAATAAGGTTTTAGACATTTCCAGAGGCGGATCCAGGATTTTGAGAATATGGATACACCATTGATACTTCAGGAAAACTAAAATAAAAGGATGCGTTTCTGTCAAAAAAAGGCAAAGAAAGGCTTAAGAATAAGAAATTAAAGCAGTAATTTTGAAGGGATTCGATCTAATGACCTTAAGTTAGCATGAAATAAGGGGCCAAAACCAATGAACCACTTTGTCTCTTTTGATCATGGGTGCCATCAAGTAATAATAAGTCATTTTTCGCAAATTATGTACATAATATATTTGATATCGTCGGAGGACCATGGGTTAACGTAAACCACGATTTATACCGCGGATCCGCCCTGGGCCATTTCATGTAGGAGGGGGAGACGGAAGCAAAGTAAAGTTGGTAATGGCTCCAGAAAACAATATAGGCCTAACATCGACCGCAGGAAAAGGTACACTATAATGTTTACGGTTAAAGTTTAGTACTACTCTCTCAGTTCACTTTTACTTGTTAAGTATTCTTAAAATAAATTTTTATTTTTATTTATCACTTTTCGCATATCAAGAGAAAAATAATTTATTTTTTCTGTGTTGCCCATAGAATTAATTACTCAATCCAAATCATTTTTCAAATCCATTAAAACTATACACCAATTAATATGGGTATCATGGTAAATTATGCACTTTATTTATTGTTTCTTAAGGGACGTGTAAAGTTCAAAGTGGACAAGTAAAAGTGAACGGAGGGAGTATTTACCACTAAAGTCAACATGTCTTGGTAAATTCTCACATTCTTGGATTTTCCTATCTTTTCCTTTTCCCTTTTGTTAAACGAAATTTTCATTAATTAGATTAGTTAAGTTAATAAAAGTGTAGCGACCCGGCCAGTCGTTCCGAGAGTTGTAGCCCCGTTTTCCCCATTTCTGCTTATTTTTGTGTTGTTCAACTATGTTGAGTTGTATCGAGTTGGTAGGTTTGGGTTCAGAGTAGTTTTGGAGTGAAATAAGACACTCAGTCTCATAATTGAAAAATTTAAGTTAGAAAAGTGGACCGGATATGGATCTATATGTAAACGATCTCGGATTTGAATTCTGATGGTTCTGTTAGCTCCGTTAGGTGATTTTGGACTTAGGAGTGCGTCCGGAATGTGATTTGGAGGTCCGTGGTAGAATTTGGCTTGAATTGGCGAAATTGGAAATTTGGCGATTTCGGCCGGTATTGGAAAAATTTGATATCGGGGTTGGAATGGAATTCTGAAAGTTGGATTAGGTTCGTAGTGTCATTTGTGACGTGTGTGCAAAATTTTAGATCATTCGGACGTGGTTTGATAGGTTTCGGCGTCGTTGGCAAATTTTTGAAGTTTAGAAGTTCTTAGGCTTGAATCTGAGGTTGAATTGGTGTTTTAGTGTTGTTTTGGTTATTCCGAAGGTTCGACTAAGTTCAGGTAGTGATATATGACTTGTGAAAAATATTGGTTGAGGTCCCGAGGGGCTCGGGATGATTTCGGATGGTTAACGAGAAGTTTGGAAGTTAGAAAATTTCATAATAGACTAAAGTTCAAGTGAGTACGCACAAGACTCAACTTCCAATGAGCATAACTCTCATGATACAAAGTGTTATATAGTGTATTACCTATCAAATAAAAGATCTTTGAGTCTAGTTTCTAACGCTTCAAACCGTTTATCATTTGGACAATTCTACAAAACGTTATGACTAAAGAACCAAAGGCTAAAACAATGCAATTTTGCGACCAGTTATGCGATCGCAAAACTGCTTCTGCGATCGCAAAACAGGTCGCAGAATGGACCAGAAGAGCCCAGTTTTGGGCGCCAATTTTGTGATCAGCTTTGGGGCCCGCATACCCATTTTGCGGTCTATTATGCGACCGCAGACCTGCTTTCGGAGGGTTAATTTTTTTATTTTTATAACCCGACCTCATTTTGATAAATAGGCTTTGGGACTCATTTTGGAGCAAAAATCTAACATTTTAAGAGAGAAGGGAGAGTGTTGTAGAGAGAGGAAAAAGCTCAAGTGCTTTGTTCATCAAGATCTTGTTCAAGCTTTGAAATCCAACAAGGAAATATCACAAGATCTTCACCCAAGAGGTAAGGTTCTAACCCCTAGTCTTCAATTTCGAGTTTGGGTAAAGATGGGTGATTAAGAGTATGATTCTTGGAAGTAATAGTATCATTTATACATATCAATAAGGTTTATGGAAAGATTATTGAGTTCAAATGGGTATAGGTTGGTTTGAAAATGGTAGAAATCTTCAAAGAATTTAATTCAAGATTTGAGGGTCGAGTTGATGTCGGAATTTGGTAAAATTTATATGGTTAGACTCGGGAGAGGACGAGGATTGTTATTGTGCCATTTTTGACTAGTTTCAAGACGTGGGCCCGGGGGCCGGGTTTTGGCGGATTTCGGATTTTTGGCCTATTTATGTAGTTTTTCCGTTGGAATTTGATTCTTTAGCCTATGTTNCTGTTTTGAGTATTGAGTGCTGAGTACGAGTGATGAGTGATGGAGTGATACTGCTGTGAGGTTGTATTTATTTTTGTTGTTGCTGCATTTATCTGTTAAACTTCTTTGTGGCATTTACTGAGTTATGAAATTTACCTGTTTATTTTTGTTTACTTTTCAATTGTAAAAAAATAAATAATTGGACTGTTTTACTTAGCTCGTCACTATTACTCAGTTCCTTAGTTATTTTTGTTACTTGGTGAGGTGGTTGTACTCATGCTACACCCTGAACTTTATGTGCAGATTCATGGGAGTTAGAGTGCGGTGATCGTTGAGTTCAGGCTGGCTATCTGTGGAGATTGCAAGGTAGATGCTAGTGTCCGCAGGACCTTGTTACTCCTTTATCATTTCTTCTTTTGGATTGTGTTGACAGTTAGACAGTTTCATTTCTTAGTTCATAGATTTAGACACTCATGACTTAGTGACACTCCGATGTTTGGGGCTCGTTTCCGTATTTCTAAAATTATATTTAGAGTTAATTTAGTTTATGAGANAATTATAGATAGATTCGAAGCTTTTGGAGATCGAGTACAGAGAAAAGGGCATCCCGGAGTAGGAGTTTTACGCTGTTAAGGTAAGTAACAGTTTTAACTCTGGCTTTGAGGGTATAAACCCGGAGATTTGACATCACGTGATTGTTTGGAAGTGATACCCATGCTAGGTGACGAGCGTGTGGGTGTGCACCGCGAGGAATTGAGACTTGGTCTGTACCATGAGGTTGTGAGGCCTAATGGCTATTATCTGTGGTTATGTGTTTATTTGTTGTTGAACTTGTTTGCCTTCATGTTAGAGATCATGCTTAGGCTTTATTCATGCTCACATTATTTGNGAAATTCAAATGTTGAAATATTTTATTAAATTCTTATAATCGGTTTAGTAGAAATATTTTAGGAAGTAGGCTTGCCTTGTAACATGATAGGCGCCATCACTACCATGGTTAGATTTTGGGTCGTGACAAAAAGTCGAGCTAATATTTTTGAATTAATGTTCAAAGGTAAATTGACTATTTAAATAGATGATTTAATTAGTACTATGTTTTGTTTTAGATCCATGTTTACGAAGGCGAATAATGAGAATTAATGTTCAGGATGACACCTTCAAAGATGTTAACAATCTGTCCTTGGTTGTGAATAATAATACCCTTGAAGATAATAGCTCTTCAGGTAAATCTAGTTCAAATTCAAGAACCTTTGCACAAATGGTTGAGCGAGATGACATTATTGCTGTAGTTAAAGCATACATTCAGGAAGAAAAGGGTATTGCCCTTGAGGGATGCACAAGCTCTTCCTTCTATTGGAATCATTAAGGATTCCACTTTAATCCTTTGATATGCACCAAGACGAGCTTGATTCCAATAGAAGGAAGAGCTTCAAATAGTTGTGAGAAATATTGATTCAGGATGTGCCCTTGAGCTAATGGTAGGGCCTGATGACACCATTGGAGATGTTAAGGCTGTCATTAAAAAATATGAGGAGATTCGATTTCATAAATATAAATTAACATTATATGGAACTGATCCTGATGATTCTGAGTATCTCGATGACCTCAGGATCCAAAATGAGAGCGTTCTGTTCCTTTAATATAAATTTCTGGATGTGTTCTTAAGGTAACAGTGGACCAAGATGGCACAATTGGAGATGTTAAGGCTACCATTTACGAAAAGGTGGGAATTCGATTTCGTAAACAGAGGTTAATATTTAGAGGAAAAGAGTGTGGTGATTCAGAGCTTCTTTCCGACCTCGGCATGGAACTTGACAGTGAACTAATTCTTCGGTTGATTTGAGGTGTGGTTGTTCAAGTGTAGGCTTGTCTAATTTGGTTTTTCAATATTACTGGGTTACTTATTTTTCTTGTATCTTTTTTCTCCTTTTTAGAGATTATGGGCTTAAAAAGAAGAGAGGAAAGTTAGGTTTTGTGAGATTTCAATTTTCAACTTTAAGTTTTCTAGTGGTGTGTTTATTGAACTTTTTGTTGTTGCAAGTTTAGAAGTCGTTTCCCTATTTCTTCGCATGTACGTACACTCTCATTAAGTTGTAGTATCTTTCTTCTACTAAATCATCTATAACTCTTGCGGCGGGGTTATTATTTAGGCCTCATTATCTTTACACATTTTTCCTTAGGTTTGAATCATACAAATAGATGAATAATTTAAACGAATGAATCTTAATGCTATATTTTCATTCGCTACCACAAAATAGTTCCTCCATTTTTTGTGATATTTTTACTTACTATACGGGGAGTCGGAGATTTCTTTTTATCATTGGTACCCAGTGACTTGACAATTTTGCGACAAACACTTCCTACTAGAAATTTCTTTATTCCTAGAGTTGGAACCCAAGACTTTTTGTTAAGAATTGAGAAATCTTCCATCTAACCAATTAGTTGATTTAGAGACTTCAATAAATATAAAATGTGTTATGTATTAATACATTGGAATTACTTCATTTCTTCAACTAGATTTTTATTAATTAACCGTCTCATTTCTTTTTTTAAAATGTTTCTTTGAATGAACATAAAAGATCGCATTTATTTGGTAAATGTATAGGGTAAAATAGGTTTATATTAAATGCTCGAATGATAGCGTGACACGTGAAACCGGAGGCAGACGAAAGATGAAGCGAGTGGAAACCAAGACCGAGGACAACAACTTCAGTTGGCACCAGGTATATCCCGAAGGGAACATAGTCAGTAGGAGCAAACGAATATTTGTCACCAGATGATATTAAATAAAGAATATTCCTCAGTATTAAATATACAGCCGTTGTAGAGAATTTTGATATTCATGGCATGCCGTTACATATTCATCAATGACCTCCATTATTGTCATTTAAGAGGGGCTAGATCCTAGGACCTTATTCCCTAGGTATAACTATAAATAGTAGCTTCAACAACTATTGTAACACACGAAATCTCTGGCAAAACTTATGCTACACATTATTCTCAAGCTAAAATAATACTTTATTTTCTATCTATTATTGTGCTTATCACTGTTTTCAGAAGCCTTGCTCCCGGAATCAGGCTATCTGTTATTTATCTCGATTTCAATGCTAAGTCTTATACTTTTTATTTAGTTTATTTATCATTTTGGATCAAATCGATTCGCTTGTCTATAAATCATGCTATAAATTCAACTGTACCATTTTATGGGTAAACAGTTTGATGCCCACAGTGGGGCTTAGACAACTGCGTAATTGAATTGATCCTTGCATCTATTACTAACTTGTTTGATTCTTTGTTTCATAGCAAAAATCGTAAAAAAATGGCAGCTAACGATGTCAACATCGCACACAATATTGAGGCGCAAGAAAATCTACCTCAACATGAGGATTCTATTAGTGACACCCGCAACAAAGAGGGTGTAGCAACTCCGGTACATGGAAGGCAATATCCCCGACATGTGCGGGAGACAACTCCTGATGATGCTGAGGACGAGCTTGTTGCGGAAATAGTAAGGATCCTGAGAGAACAACAAAAGGCCATCATGGGCCATCTCTCAAGGAAAGACCAGGCCATGACAGAACTGAAGCAGGCATTGTTAGGTGCATCCAACAATGCCAATCGAAGGGGACCCATTCCTCCCGGCGCTCCCACAAATCAAACAACACAAAGAGTTGATAACAACACCCGAGGGGTGAGGTCGGCTTTGACAGAGCTGGGGGGATCGGTAACAGATCCGGTAACGACAACGGTAATGATCCCTTCAAAACTGAGCTTGTGCAGTTCATGAGGTAAATGAACGAGTGGACGGATTAGAACGCAAAAGCGTTCCACGCTCGAATGGACCAAATTCCGAGCGCACGACCAGTGCTGAAGGTCCCGGACTCGAAGAAGTACACCATGTTGCCGTTCAAACCGAGCACAGCGCCAGAGTTAATTTTGAAGCAGTTCAAAATGCTAGACGTACCAAAATATAATGGGACTTCGAACCCTCAGGAGCATATCACCACCTATATAACGGCGGTGAAAGGAAACGACTTGGCTCAAAATGAGATGGAGTCGGTCCTGCTGAAGAAGTTCGGAGAAACCCTAACGACAGAGGACCTACCATGGTACTCACTCTTTCCCGAACACTCAATAGATTCCTTTGAGACGCTCATAGATTCTTTCATCAAGGCCCATGCTGGGGCCAAGAAGGTCTAGTCCCATAAGGCAGATATATTCAGAATTTCGCAAGGAGAGTCTGAATTACTGCGCGAGTTTGTGATCTGGTTCCAGAAATAAAGGATGTTGTTATCGGCCGTGCTAGATGAATGGGCAGCTGAGGCATTCACTAAAGGATTGAAACCGATAAGCTCTGACGCCTCCCGAAAACTGAAATAAAGCTTGCTCGAGTTCCAAGCAACTACATGGGCGGATGTCCATAACCATTATGAATCAAAGATAAGGATAGAAGATGATCAGCTCTGGTTCCCAGCATAAACTATGGGTCGGGATCGAGAAAAAGAAGGGAGAAATCAAAAGATGATTTTGATACGGATTGGCGATTTTCTAAGGGATGGTTTTTGCCTTACAAAAGAGCCGAAGGATGCGGTAACAGATGGTTACAGTTAGCGGATAGGTTCGTTCCCGATAGTAGAACTAACCACGGCTAGAATAACAGGTCATTGCAAGAGAAATAGGTATCGTGTTCCTGGGATACCACTTATCCTAGGTTGCCAGAGTGTAATTTCAATATCAGTGTAGTGGAGCTGGTATCGACAATGAGAAACATCAAGGAAGCACGAGTCCCGAGGCCAATAAGGTCCGATTCCAGCTAGAGGGATCCTAATTTATGGTGCAAATATCATAGGACTAATGGCCACCGGACTGGGGACATCCGATATCTGCGCAAGGAGGTAGCAATGCTTTTAAAAAGTGGCCATCTTAGGGAATTCTTAAGCAACCGGGCTAAGAACAATTATGGCCTCATCCGGGATAACACAAAGCCCTCGAAGGTAGGGGAAGACCATCCTTGACTAACCATCAATATGATATTTGGGGGGAACGAGATCAATGGTGTAAACTTCTCGGTAGCAAAAAAGACAAAGGTATCCGTGACTCATAGTAAGAGACTCCAGGAAGTCGCCAAGGACGACATCACCTTCACGGAAATAGACACCGATGGACTTCTACTACCGTACAACGATGCCCCTGATAATTTCTCTTAATGTTCTAGATTTCAAGATTAAACCTGGTTTGGTTGACCTAGGAAGTTCAACCAACATCATTCAATGGAGAGTGCTGGAACAAGCCAAGCTATCCGAAAGCATTATTTTGGCAACAAAACTCCTCGTCGGGTTCAACTTAGCAAGGGTGACTACCCGAGGGGAGATGTTGCTGCCCACGAACGCCGAAGGGGTCATGAAGACTACCTTATTTGAAGTAGTGGACGGTGACATGGGCTACAACATAATTCTTAGAAGACCATGGCTACATGAGATAAATGGCGTACTATCAACATATCACCAACTTCTAAAATTTGCAACTCCAGAGGGAATTAAACAAATAAGAGGAGATCATTCGACAGTAAGGGAGATGAACGCGGTATCAGTTTCCAGCAGTAAAGGGAAGGAACACGAGGCATAGCAATTACAGGTACCAGCGCTTGCTCCCGAACCGAACGAAGATGAAAAAGGGTAGGAGCCATCGGAATCCCACAGGTACCAAGATATTTTCAAGTATCGGAAGAAACGGACGAGACCAAGTCCACGGTGGAAGAACTCGAACAAGTGGCTTTGTTCGAAAAATTTCTACAGAGGAAATTTCACTTGGGGACAGGACTAAACACCGAACTCAAGTTAGGATTTATCGAGTTTATTAAAACTAACATTGATTACTTTGCATGGTCGTACGCGAATATGACATGTATCCTGCTAGAGGTGGCCGTGCATAAGCTAAGCCTGGATCCGAGAATCTCGCCGGTAAGGCAGAAGAAGCGGCCGATAGCTGAGGTCAGAAACATATTTGTCAAAGAAAAGGTAACTAAACTACTTGATATCGGTTCAATCCGGGAGGTAAAGTATCCCGACTGGCTGATTATGTAGTTGTAGTTCCGAAGAAGAATAATAAATTTTTAATGTTCGTAGATTATAAGGACCTGAATAAATCATGTCCAAAAGACTCGTTCCCACTGCCAAACATTGATCAAATGATCGATGCAATGGCTGGGCACGAGTTAATACATTTTCTTGATGCCTATTCCGGGTATAATAAAATTAAGATGAACCCGGAGGATCAAGAAAAAACCTTGTTCATAACAAACTTTGGCACATATTGCTACAATGTGATGCCCTTCGAACTTAAAAACGTCGAAGCCACTTATCAGAGGCTCGTGAACAAGATGTTTGAAAAACAAATAGGCAAAATAATGGAAGTTTACATAGATGATATGCTAGTCAAGTATTTGAATGTAGGTGACCATTTAAAACACCTCCAGGAAACATTCGACATCCTAAGGAAGCACAACATAAAACTCAACCCCGAAAAATGTGCGTTCAAAGTTAGGTCCGGTAAAGTTTTGGGTTTACTGGTATCACAAAAGGGGATCGAAGTCAATTCCGATAAAATTAAAGCCATCGAGGACATTCCATACCAGCTGACAAGCGTGAAGGAAGTCCAAAGGCTAACTGGAAGACTGGACACTCTAAGCAAGTTCATTTCTCGGTCATCAAAAAAATGTCATCACTTCTTCTCATTTCTGAAGAAGAAGAACAACTTCGAATGGACTCCAGAATGCCAATGGTCCTTAAAAGACCTGAAACGGTATCTATCAAGCCCTCCGTTACTATCAAAACTAGAGGAAGG